AGATAAGGTTCCTACCGCCACATTAACTTGACTGTGCAGGTTTTATGGCATGCATCTAATAACTGGCAGGAATGCCTGGAGGCCGGCATTTAACAAGAAAAGTTATTATTGTTTTAATGTAAGCAGCATCCTTGAGACCACATGCATCTACATACTCCAAACGTTTCGACCGAATTCAGGTTTTACTCATTTGATCGTGTGACAGAGTTCTTAGGTCTTTATGAAACCAAGTAACTAAGTTGACTAAAATTACAACTTTTCACCTGATTGTTTTGGCACCGTACCGGTTCAGCCTCTCCTTGGGACTTTGTGTAAGAATTTCAGAACTTCTTGAGGACATGAAACCTCGTTCATAATATGGCTGCCAAACATACTGTACTGTTAGTTATCGATTCCAGAATTCGCATCTTCTGTAGGACTGACAGGAATCCCCACAGCTCTGCCGGGGGCAGCAGCCCCCAGCTCTCATCTTGTAGTGGCCAGGCTAACTTAGCGACCATGCTGAGGTCTACCCTATCACTGCGAGCCTGTCTCAGCCACCCCAATGTCCCTGAGGCACCTCCGAAGTCCACGTCTAAAAACCGTTTGATATTTACAGAATATGTTTGCAATCTTTCAAAGGGTGAAAAGATTTGATTAACTTGAGAGCAAGAGCAACTTTGAAAACTTCTGAGAAGCTTGATTTAGTAAAGTAACTTGTTTCCATCGTAGTTGCCTTGGAAACCCGAGATGGGGTGGAGGAGGCTGCTGGTTTTTATTAGAAGAGTGTTGTCAGATCTGGTTTCTCATTGGATTTCAGACAGAATGATGAGCAGAGAGCGTTTCCTTCTGGCATTTCTATTTTGGATCCAGAAACCCCATGTGGGTGTCTTACCAGTCGATGGAGCAGATATCTGATAACAGCATGTGATTCTCCCCTTCTCGCCCAACTCCAAACACCAGGGGGGTATGCGCCGTCCGCATGGAGGGCCCTTACCCATGTGGGGGCCTGGGTGGGGACTGCTGGCTAATGAGGGGAGCCAGAGCGCAGCACTCATGGTTTCTTCACGAGAAAACACCTTCCTTTCCTACCGGAATAGTGTTTTTTAAAAATAGTTTTATTGAGAGATAATTCACAAACTGTACAGTTCACCATTTGAAGTGTGTGATTTGGTGGTTTTGGGTCACTGTCACCACAATCAGTTTTAGAACACTTTCAGCCCCTCAAAAAGAAACCTTGTTTCAGCTTTGACACCCCTATGCCTCTGTCCCACCAGCTCTAAGCAACCATGAATCTGCTTTCTATTTCTTAGATTTCACTCTTCTGGACTTTCATGTGAACGGAATCATAAGCTATGTGACCCTTTGTGACTGGCCTCTTTCCCTTAGCTTAATGTCTTCACGGTTCATCCGTGTTGTAGCATGTACCAGAACTTCATTCCTTTTTCCATCTGAATAATATCTCATTGTATGTATGTACCACATTTTGTTTGTTCATTCAACAGTTGATGGATACTTGGGTTGTTTCCACCTTTTGGCTATTGTGAATAATGCTGCTGTGAACATTATCATACACGTTTCTGTGTGGACGTTCTGAATAGTGTTTTTGGTGGTGGCCAGGTCCCAAGGCTATCCCCAAGACATTTGTTTAACCCATAGTTGAAATACTTCTGGGGCAATATATTCCAAACAACTGACTAAAAATTAACCTTTAGAATACAATTGTTTTATTTTTTAACCTGAAGAAGGGATAAATTATAAGAGTAAACGTTGTTGTTAAAACTACTGTCTTAGACTGGGTTTGTAGAGAAACAAAACCACTGAAGCATATAAATATATGTATATATGTGTGTGTGTGTGTGTGTGTGTGTGTGTGTGTGTGTAGAGAGAGAGAGAGATTTATCTCAAGGAAATGGCTCACACAGTTGTAAAGGCTAGCAAGTCCCAAGTCTGTGGGTCGGGCATCAGGTGTCAGGCTGAGGTGCCTCCTGACTCATTTAGCTGCAGGGGCTAACAAACCCAAGATCCACAGGTCAGACAGCAGGTTGCTGGCTCACTGCTGCGAAGGCTGATGAATCCAAGATTGGCAGGTAAGATGGCAGGCCACTGCCCCAAGTCCCAAGAACCAGAGGTCAGATGCTGATGAGCCGAATGCAGGATCCAGAGCAGAGCAAAAGCCAGTTAGCTTTGCCAGAAAGTCCACATATATTGAATGCAGGCCACACCCCCAAGGAAACTCCCTTTCAACTGATTGGCTACTCACAGCACATCCCATCGTGGAGACAATTACACTGTATCAGACCTCATCAGGGAGGTGATTACATCATTATATGGCTGCCAAAATACATCCTAACTGCCAAACCACTGAGAATCATGGCCCAGCCAAGTTGACACTCAACCTTAACAATCACAACCAGCTCTTAAGATACTCATTTGTTCAACCACAGACATTCACCGTGTGCCTACTTAGTGCTAGACATGGAATGTGGCAATGAGCTAGAGAGAGTGAAAGCTTGCCCTCATGGTAGTCTCCTGGGCTGCCCTAAGAAAGTACCACAAACTGAAATTGATCATCTCCCAGTTCTGGAGGCTAGAAGTCCAAATTCAGGGTGTCAACAGAGTGACATTCTCTCCGAGGCTCTAGGGGGAGATCCTTTCTTGTCTCTCCCAGCTTCTGGTAGCTCCAGGCATTCCGTGGCTTGCAGCTGCAGCATAACCCGCCTCTGCCTCCATCTCCCTCTGCGTCTCTTCTCCTCTTCTGTAAGGACAGCACTCACATGGGTAAGGACCAACCCTACTCCAGTATGACCTCATGTTAACTGGTAACGTCTTCAGAGACCCTGTTTCCAAGCAAGGTCACGTGATTTCACAGGTCCCAGAGGTTAGGCGTTAAATACATCTTTTTAGGGGGCATCAATCAATGCTTAACACTCGCGGAACTTACAGACACATAATAGAACTACACAACTAGTTATGTAGTTTATCCCACTCAGTGCTGCGAGGGGCCCCACGTGCTAGGGGAATGTTCAGCGGGGGTGTCTGGCCTACCACGGGAACAGGGCAGATTCCATGAGAAAGTGACATTCAGGCAGAAGATTGTTATTTGTTTTCCCAGAGAATTTGTCAAAAGCTGTCCTAAATAACAGCTTCGTTTCTGTCTGTACCAAGGTATTGGGTTTCAGATGACTAATTAATTCATATATAGAGTCCCTGGGTGGTGCAAATGGTTAACACACTCAGCTGCTAACTGAAAGGTCAGAGGTCAAGTTTCACCCAGAGGCTTCTTGAAAGAAAGGCCTGATGATCTACTTCCAAAAAGTCAGCCATTCAGAACCCTGTTGTATTTGTGTGTGTGTGTGTGTGTGTGTGCGTGTGCGCGTGTGCGTGTGTGTGTGTGTGCTGGATGGATGTCGGTACAACAAGCTGACAGACGGGTGGTGGACTGACTCTGTCACTACTTACTGAACCCTGAGCATCGTGCTGTGCGCAAATGTCCGACAAACATCTGCTGTGTAACGAATCAGTAGCACCATGACAGAACTAATGACAGCTAACGTTTACTGAGTGCTTACGAGGTGCCAAGCGCTGCATTAGACACTTCACAAACATTATCTTCCTATTCTTCACACAATCCTGAGACAGTTACTGTTGTACAAGTCAGGACACTGAATTTCAGGCCAGTTAGGTAGCTCATCTTAGGTTGAAGGGTTGTTTGTGACTGAAAGATCCGGGACAGGCATGTTGGAGCCTAGCGCTGGTCATGTCTGGTGGCCCACAGGAGCTGCAGGGAGGGTGAGAGTGTGGCTGAAGAACCAAGACTGTACACAGTTCTAAGGAGTCAGCCAGTTACCTAGCACTTAGCACGTGCAGGCACATCACGCTGTGCTAGACACACAGGGACAACGCGAGAAAGAAGAGCTGTGATTCCTGGGCCATTGCCATCAGGACCCCAAGTTGGGGCCAGCTCAGAGGACGTGCCTTGGGAAATGTGGGGGACTGCGTGTTCACCTAAATCCCATTCAAGTAAGACCCAGGTTTGTTCAGAAGAAATGCTGGACAAATCTGCCTGGGGTGGAAGGTGAACCTGGGAGCCGGTTGGGCTTGCCTGGTGAGCCAAGAAGGATGGGGAGAAAGAGGAGGAAGGAGGCAGGGTGAGCCTGGGAGGTGACTGGTGCTTTGTGTGTTCCACAGTGTGACCCACCTCATGACCTCCCAAATTTTCAGTAAAGTTCCATAAACCCTATGGAGCACAGTTCTACTCTGACACACCTGGGGTCGCCATGAGTCAGTCGACTCGACAGCAGCTGGCTCTTGTTGGTTAGTTGGTTGGTATAAAACCCCTAGAAACTTGAGGTGAGTGGATTTTTTCGGTGGCATTTGGAGATGGGGCTGGACTTCACATTAGAATCAGTACCCGCGGAACAGGGACAGGCCATGTGGATGGGGTGTGCTGGGTCACATGGTTGACCAGATGGCTGAGGGACGGGGCTGGGAGTCAGGTGCCTCAGCTGGCTCCTGGGTTTTGTAGGGATAATAACCATTTGGGTGAAGGGAAGGGGGAGGGACCCAGCCTCTGGTCTGCCCTGAACTCGCCAGCACTGCACCTTTCTGATATTAACTATGCTCCGTGCATATGTGAAAAGTCCAGAAAGTAAAAGTGAGAAGACACGCCAGTCATCCCCCAGTCCTGCGATGGCCGCTGTGGCTTTCATTTTCTTCCCTCTTTTTCACTTTCTACGCGTGTGTTTTTTCTTTGTTCACGAAGTCGAGGTTGTGCTTTACACACACGCTTCCCTGTTTTCACTAGCATGGTAGCAGAAGCATCCTTGCAAGTAAAAGCCACGCTTCTCATCCGAACGTCTCCCACCTTCTTACAAATGACAACAAACAGACTTGATTTCAGTAACAAATGCTTGCAAAAAGCGGGGGTGGGTTTGGTGGGGCTTTTGGGGGGTATTTATTCTCTGTACCGGCCTGATGTGACCCAAGTTCTTGTTTTTTTCCCATCTTGCACAACCCAGGAAGTCCTACGAGTTTGAGGACTTGCTGCCGTCCTCCTTGGAGAGCAGCACAGTGGACTGCTACTCCCAGTCGAAGCTGGGGCTCACACGCACTTTATCGGAGGAGAACGTCTACGAGGACATTCTGGGTGAGAAGCCAGCGGGCTGTGCCTGGTGGGGATGGGACGGGGGAGGTGACAGGACGGGACGGGGCCAGCTACTCGAGGTGGGGAGAGACAAACACCCATGCTAAACTCTCGAAGCGACATCGGCAGATGGAGAGAGACACCAGCGCACACCGACCTTGAAGACGTGCGCACGCTCCCATGAGTGAGAGGCTAAGTGGTGGGGTGGAATGCATGCACTCCGGTGGGACACGCGAGGACAGTGGGTGGCGGGAGGGAAAGGCTGCCAGGAGCACCAGAGAGGCAGTTGGTGTGGTGGAGAGAACGGGAGACCTGGAATCCCGAGAGCCAGGCTCGAATCTTGGCTCTGCTGCTCATTAGCTGTGGGACGTTGAGCCGGTGGCTTCACCTCTCTGAACCTCAGTCTTCCACCTGCGTACCAAGGATGCTGATAGGAGGGTGGTTTACGGGCTGGAGAGAATGGTATGTAGAGTGCCTGGCTTGTAACAGATGCCCAGTAAATTGTAGGGATTCCCGAGTGGAAGAAACCAGTACAGACCGGCACCAACAGGCCATTAACATTCAGATGAGAACGAACGTCCGTTATTTAAAAAGCAAGCTTGGCCTAGCTCTGGAGAATTATCTCAGGTTCCGAGATGGGCCTCAGGTCAACAGGGTCGGCCTGCGTGTTAAATTGGATGAGTTAAGTCCTCTTCAGGAAGATCCATTTCAGTGAGGCCTGAGTGTAGACTGGTGTCTGCCTCTGCAGATCAAGGAAAAGAGACCAGCTGGGAAGAGAGAAACCCAGGTGTGTACGTGTGAGGGGCAGGTAATCGTAATACCAGCGAACACTCTATGGGAGAAGGAGATTTGAGGCTCAGGAAGGACATATACTTAGCTGAGCTCTGTGGATCACACTGTAAAAAAACCAGTTGTGTTTGATGGGAAGCCTAGGGG